TTAGAATGATTTCTGAAGGACCGTGTGACACTGAAGACTGGAGTAATGATGCTGAAAATTCAGCTTTGCATCACAGGAGTAAATAATTATTTAATATTTATTCAAATAGAAAACAATTCCTGTACAGGTCAGAAACTGTATTTTTGATCAAATAAATGCAGCCTTGGTCTATGGTAAGCATACATAAATAAAAACAATTTCTGACCCTGGCCTCTGAATGGTGAATAGTATAAGGGAAGTCCATTTCACGGATTTAAGAGCCTTCCAAAAAATGGCACTAGTAAACATAAACGCTTCAAAAAGTTTAGAATTAGAACTGCTCTCCTTTAAAGAACTAAATGGTGAAGTTACCTTTTTACAGTTTTGCCATCATTACAGTGCAATATGTTTTGTAGCCTACAGAAGAAAGAAAATCCCTGATTTACCTATCCGAATCAAGTATTCCAGAAAGCTCAAATCTCTTCAATTGTATAAATCATCATCACGACCATCACTGTCATTAACAAACACCCTGACAATTATCTACACTAGTAGAGGGTGAAATTACCAAAATCTTATCTCACGATAATTATATATATCATGATATAGTTATTTTTGCCTTAAATTAGGGTTTTATGATATCAATTTTTGATCCCATTGAAATTTCAGAATTCGTATCACTATTTTCAATATAATATAAAAAACTAATACTAGCCTAAAAAAACCTCTCAAGCTTACTGAAGACAAGTAAACTGAAAAAGAAAGAGCAAAGAAAACAAACTACAATAAAACAAAGACACAAATTAATTAGACCTACCTAACTTCAAGCACTAGAAATACTACATAAAATGTGTAAAGTAAATGTTTAAAAAACACTGCATAGTCTTCACTGTGTAAATAAAATGATGCTGTCACTTTAAAGGAATAGTTCACCCAAAAATGAAAATTCTGTTATTAATTATTCACCCTCGTGTCGTTCCAAACTAGTAAGACTATCGTTCATCTTCGGAACACAAATTAAGATATTTTTGATGAAATCCGAGAGCTTTCTGTCCCTCCATAGACAGCAACGTCACTGCCCAGAAAGGTAGTAAAGAAATCGTTAAAATAGTCCATGTGACTACAGTGGTTCAAGTGAAATGTTATGAAGAATACTTTTTGTGCGCAAACCCCCCCCAAAATAACGACTTTATTCAACAATTTCTTCTCTTCTTTGTCATATCTCCTACGCTATTTGCGTACTAAACGCAATTAGGCATGTGCCGGTATCAAATTTTCATGCTGCGATTAATTGATTGAGCTTTTATCACGGTATACGGTATTATCACGATATTTTAATTGCACAAGAGAAACAGATGGATTGGGGGTATCTAAAAAAAACTTGCATCACAATGTGTAATTGTGATTGTCAAAACATTAATTTTATTTTTTAGTGACAACATGTTACAATGTTTACATGGTACAGTTACTGAGGCTACTGTTTGTATTATTGCTTAACACAATTTTCACGATTTCAATTAAATTCTTGGATTTAATTTCAATCTTGATTCAATATTGACTCATTTGGATAAATATTAGGTAGGCTACAGTAGATAGCCTGCATTTAAATTTTTCTCAAGAAAAGATATCTCACATAATGCTGTAAACATACAGAGAGAAATTAAATATAATGCATACAATATAAATATAATAATAATATAAATATAAAAATGTAATATGCCGTAATTTTCATTATAATAACAATTATATAATGACAAGTAAACATATATTAAAATATGTAATATAGTGCACATATTTAGCAAAATACTCCTCTCTATAGCTATTTTCTTATAGTCAATTAACATTAAATGGCTTTCCTGAGGTAAATGTAACGTTCTGTGACATAATTGTTCTCCTGCAGTGTTATTGACCTCTTTCCGTGGTTGAAAAACACTGATTGATCGAAAGTACGTACCTTTCGGTGGGTTGTACTGTATCTTTAAAGGGACACTATGCAGCTTTTTTAGCTTAACTGAACAGCTTCAGAGTTATTGAAATGGTTATATAACTTCTTTCGGGTTGAATGGTGGGCGTCTCGACCCCCCCTGGTGCCTGTGAGCGCAAAAATCTCACTTGCAACTTCGGTGCGGCGGGCCGCGTCAGGAAGTATCGCGTGATATCAGCTCTCGCGATGTAACATATTCCTTTACGGCAACTCACACATACACACAGGAACAAGGTATAGATGGATGGAGTTTGTCACACTATCGTCATGGCTGAGCCGGCATATAAGATGCAGAAAGCTAGGAAAGCATTGTCGGAGGAACAGAGAAAGAGGAAACGGCAGACTGACCGAGCGAGGAGTCGGGCACGAGCATAGGCATAATTTGCAGGTGTGTTATGTCCCCATTGAAACTTCTCGCGGCACGGATGTACCATTACAAACAAATAAAACATCTCCAGGTAACTCTAGTAGAGCATTCATTTCGTTCGTTTGTTAAATAAGAGGCGATCTGAAATGTGTTATTTTTTAAATCAAGTGACCAAAGTGCTCGTTGCCTCTGCGATCAGTGGTGCAGATAAGTTACAGTGTTCTGTTGTGACGCGTGCCTGAATCCGTTGCGGGGACTGAGAGACTCTCTATATTTTGTTATGGTGAAATCACAAAATCTAATGCACAAAAAACATATCCCTGCTTGAAATACAACCACTAATAAACAATCGGTTTTGATGAGGAAAATAAACTATACTACTAGTACCGATTAGAACCCAGAACCTCTGACACACTTGGCAAAAGTTCTGCCTCTGGACCATTAAAATTGTCGGATCTATGTATTTAATCACGTGAAAATTCTCACCACTAACAACATATATTATATCTCATTAAACGACAAATTAAACACAATGTACTATTGTATACTGTGAGTGGTATTTACGACAGTAACGTTAAATTCAAGTACTCCACAGTAACTCTAGGGGTCGCTGTTTGACAAAAACGGGATTTCTGCATAATGCCCCTTTAATAAAAAGTAACAGATGATCGGTTTACTTGAACTGAGGCGCGCGATCTGTCACGTCACATTTACAAGCAGCAAAACAGTATTTATTGTCTGAATTTCGTTATAAAATGGACAGAACCTGAGAGCTGATGTTTTTTTCATATCAAAAGTAACCTGCTCTGTCTAGTCTGTCGGTGTCAGTGTCCTCTTTGCTCCGCGATTTTTCTCTGCGTGAGAAAATGGATGTGTGGCGCGAGACCGTGTGAAAGTGTCAATTGCGTGAGTCTCAAGCTGAATGCGTGAGAGTTGGCAGCCATGCGGGGGATAAATAGTCGGCAGCGTTCCTCCTTCCGCCGTGCTTCTTCTCCACGTGAGGATTGTTTACATTAGACTAGAGTGCGCACTGCATGCACACAGTGCTTATACATGTGATGTGGGGATTGTTTACATCAAAGTGCGCACGTGTTTTGCGCAGCATATACGCATTGTTTTTTAAGCGGTTGATGGAAAATAAGCTGATGCACGTTCTAAAAATCTAAATTCGGATCTATTATTTTTCACGGTATTTCGAAGTCCCCGCGATAACGATATCGTGCATATTCATTACCGCGATTTATCGCATTACCGAATACCGGCACATGTCTAAACGCAATACAGCGCTTTTGGGTTCAACGCCAGAATCCCGCCTCACTATTGGCCGACGCTCACGTGAGCACCAATATAGCCAATAGTGAGGCGGCGTTCTGATGTAGAACCCAGAAGCACTGTACTGTTCACACTATATCAAGTGTAGGAGAATGACGGGGAAGAGAATAGATTGTTGAATAAAGTAGTTATTTTGGGGGGGGGGGGGGGGGGGGTTTATAACATTACATTTTCAATGATGTATTTACTACCTTTCTGGGCCTTGACAGTTGCAATGACGTTGCAGTCTATGGAGGGATCAGAAAGCTCTGGGATTTCATCAAAAATATCTTAATGTGTTCCGAAGATAAACTAAAGTCTTATGGGTTTGGAACGACATGAGGGTGAAATTTTTTGGGTGAACTAACCCTTTAAAACCAACTGCACTTAAGACATAAATGACTCCGTTTACTTGCAAATACATGGTCACTTTGACACATGGGTATGTGTATTTAACTGTTCAAACCCAATTAGGTGGCAAAAAGCACTCAGTTCAGTTCTCAAGTGCTCTATGAGCAGCGGCCTCATGTCAGACAGCGCTGAGAAACAGTCTCACTCATAGATAGTGTGCGCATACACTGAAATGAGTTCTCTTTCGCTGCAAATTACACTTCAACAGTTTAAAATCACTTAAAAATGCATGCAAACGATAAGCTTCCTTGACCGTGAAGCACTGCAACATTACAGGAGCGTGACATTGATAGAGACGATAGTCCAAAATCTCTACCGGTTGCCAAATTTCTACCGGTTATTCGTGTCTACCGGTATATCGCCCACCCCTAATCTACACAGCCTTATTTTGGCTTGCGTGTCCTGTGGAGAGGTCAAAGGTCAACATGATGCAGGAGGTCATGTCAGAGGAAACAAGGGAATCTTTTATTGCGGTGACCATGAAAGCGCTCTCTATAAACATTAAAAGACATTCTTTGTGAGTCGGAAGAAAAGAGAGATATCAAACTCTCTCGGACCAACCAGAAGGCCTTTCCAGCCCTTCATTTCTCCTAAGAAGCTTCTCAAAAAGGATTGAAAAAGCTCTTAAAAAGACTCACTCAGAATTGGGTACACACATTCTCTTTCTCTAAGGAAAGAGAAAGAGGAGAGAGGGGGAATAAACAGTTGAGGAGAGAAAAGCACAAGTCCCTCTCAGTCAACCGGTAGGGACAGAGTAGTATTGTTAAGACCCCTTCACTGGTGTGCACACGCACAACCCCCCCCGCTTCATGAAAACAAACCCGGTTATTGAGAGGTGCTTGGACATATTTGATTAGACTGGGTGACTCAGCAGGAATGGAAGAGGAAGAGGAGGAGAGACTGGGATTTTAGACAGCTGCTGAAAGAAGAGAGGGAACAGGGTCTCACCTCATGGTCTGGGATCTCAGAAGACAGAGTCTGTCCTAGGACGGTCCCCGTTAGGTAGGTCCAGCAGCGGGCAGTATTGGGAAGGTTATAGCCGCCTGAGAGAGGCAGATTTGTATACGCAGAGAGCGAAAGAGAGAGAGAGAAGCGGGATTGAAGTCAGCAAAAGGGCTTCATTGTACTAGTGTAATTACTACCTTTCATCTAGCTTGGCTAGGCAGGTCTGCAGCTTAGAGCTCATTTCAAAATGGGCTAAAATCACAAAAGTTCACTTTCTTCTCTCAGCCCAACCCCAACCCGGCCGTAACAACACACTAATAAACTTTTTGGCCGAGTCAGAAAGCTGGCAACAAGGACAGAAGATGGAGTTGTCAGTGTTAAGACATAGAGGAAGAATAAACTGAGGCAACACTGCTGACAACGTCTGTCGATTTAGTTAACCCAAAAATGTAAATTCTGTCATCATTTACTCACCCTCATGTCGTACAAAACCCATGACATCTAAACACAAATGAAGATAATCTAATAATCTAATAAATAGATAATTTAACATTCTCTCATCATCTTTGCCCATCCACTGAAAGTCTACGCCAGCCTTTCTCAAAGTGGGTGCCGCGGCACACTGGGGTGCCCCCTGACTTTGTCAGGGGTGCCGCCAAAAAATTACGTAGGCTAAAAATATATATATATATATATTTGAATTTACATAAATACATTCTTCTTCTTTTTAAACATATGAACGTATTAATAAAATTGTAAATTCATTTTAGATAAATATATATATATAAAATTAACCATAAAAATCCGTCTCACAAGACCGAAGCAAGACACACACACAACTTGACGCAAGTGACGCAACCCATAGCACCGCGTTATAGCAACAACACCGACCGCGTGAACGCGCGTCACACAGCAACTGCAGGCTCTGACAAACACACATACAAACTATACTATACTTCTGCATAACGTGTCTCTTTTTACAACAAAAATGTGAATTCTGCCGGTATTCAGACAGTCTCATGCATACAGATACAGATCCAGCCTACAATCGCCTACGTAGGCGAAATTTGTTTGACATTTCTAATCGTAAACACAGCCATGTCGAAGCCTGCAGTAATGTTTTTCATTGATGTTATGGCAGTCCACTCTGCTTGTTGTTTTTCGAGAATCTTGCACTCCTGTTTGTCATTGTGCACGAAACTTCATGCCAATAAATCATCAGAAATATTGCTGACTTGTGCGCGTCTCAAGCGCACTCTTTACGCTCGTGCTAATGCCTGTTAGTTGTCCGTGGATTTGCCTATATTTGGCGCTGAAAATGGAAACGTCTTTAGACATGGAAAATCGATTTTACAATCGATTCAATGAACGTTTATGTCTCAAAAATCGATCAGGATTTTTTCACAAAAATGATAGCCCTGTAAAGTTGTTATTATTATTGTTATTGTTATTGTTATTTACAGTTCGTATTATGCTCTGTTCATTACTGTTCTGTCTAAATAAACAGGGCATTTGCATTTACATTTGGGTTATGCAGTGTTTTTAATTTATATTTTACACTGGGGTGCCTTGAGATTTTATGCACTTTTGAAAGGTGCCCCGACTGAAAAAAGTTTGAGAAAGGCTGGTCTACGCAACCAAACTTTGCATGCTTCAGAAAGTACATGTATCCTTATGAATCGAGCGGTTAAACAGAATAAACATTTAATTTAGGCTTTTATTTACATATTAACATTGCATAAGTCATGAATAGAAGACTAAATTAAATCTGGTCATCATAATAAGCAAATGAAACTGCTCGATTCATATGGATTTGTGTTTCAAAGATGAATGAAAGTCTTATATGTTTGGAACGTCATGGAACGTCATCAATTAATGACAGAATTTTTATTTATGGATATTAAAGGAGTCCTATTATGCTTTTTCAACTTCATGTCAGTTAGTGTGTAATGTTGCTGTTTCAGCCAAAAAAGATCTGCAAGGTTACGAAGCTCTAAGTCCACTCCAAAGGGAGATGTTTTATTTAACAGAATCCACTTTTCAAAAACTACAACGAACGACTCGTTTGGACAACAATGCGTTTTTGTCCCGCCCACGGAATAAACAAAAAAAGGGGATGAGGCCTGGTTGAGCTGCATTAGAGAAGACAGTGTTGTCGCTGTCAAAGAGATGCTGTTTTGTCCACCCCGTTTCCAAAATGTATTTGTTTGACCTTTCGAAAGGCTGACGAACTTTAGCCAACACTAGTGTTGATGTAGTGTTTACTGTAGCTTTTGTAAGCTCTCACTTTTGTAAGACTGTCCACCACCCCAAAACAAAATAACTTTATTCAACTATTCATTTTCTTCTCTGTGGGCCTCTGAGTGAGTTCACGTAGTGTAACTGCGCAGCGCTTCTGTGTTGTAAGTCACACGCATCACACACATGACCAGCGTTGGCCAATAGTGAGCCTACATTCTGACGTACAACGCAGAAGCGCTGCGCTGTTACACTATGTGAACTCACGTCAGAGGCCCACAGAGAAGGAAATGAATAGTTGAATAAAGTTATTTTGTTTTGTTTTTTGCGCACAAAAAGTATTCTCGTCGCTTGAGAAACTTATGGTTGAGCCACTGTAGTCACTAGGACTATTTTAACAATGTTTTTACTAACTTTTCTGGGCCGGCAAGTTTCAAAAACATAGAAGCCTATGGAGGAGTGTGACAGCTCTCAGATTTAGTCAAAAATATCTTAATTTGTGTTCCGAAAATGAACGAAAGTCTTACGGGGTTGGAACAACATGAGGGTGAGTAATTACTGACAGAATTTTCATTTTTGGGTGAACTAACCCTTTAAGAGATTAAGAGCATAATACAATTGAATAAAAACAATGACGCACACCTCCTCCTAGTAGCAGAGTGGGTAACTCCCAGCCCAGTATATAGTTTAGACACTTTCCAACTCCAACGGGAGTCATATTGAAGGAGCACATGGGGTCACCCGCCATTGTGTCCGCTCCTAGTTGCATCACAACTGCTTCAGGGTTAAATAGAGCTTTTACTTCCTGCATCACACTGAGAGAAAAAGAAAAAAAGAAAATAATGCTTATGTTTAAATGACACTGAGCCACAGGGACAAACAAAACATTGCAAGGAACTTGATTGGATGGCTGGTTAATGGATCTTTACAAACCTGGTGAAGGTCTGGCAGTACCGATCATCACGTATGCCATCCTCAAAGGGGACGTTAACAGCGTACCAGCGTCCTTTACCCAGCCCAGTGTCAGTCACATCACCTGTGCCTTTGAAACAAATAATAATGATAGCCCTTACGCTGATCTCTTTGGTCATTCAATCATATCACTGACAAAACTGATGTCTGAGCCAGTATGAATTATCTACATCACGCAATTGGCATTGACCGTTCAAAAGTTCGGGGTCAGATATATATATAAGTTAATTTTTTTGCTCAATTGTGTCAGGAATGACATTTGTAATGTTACAAAAAAAATCTACAAATAAATTCGGTTTTATTGAACTTTCTATTCATCAAAATATTTTGGAAAAAAATGCCATCAATCTTTGCCATCACAGGAATATATTGCATTTTAAAACATATTAAAGCAACACTAAACAACTTTTCCTCTTCGGTCGCCCTACAGGTTGGAAGCAGAATTGTCCATTACCGCTGTCGTAAATAATGTAACCTACCGCACATTTTATCCAGCACCGGCTTTGGAATGAACGATGTCCACAGACAAGGTACAGTATGTTGCATGATTTTATGAAAGTATGATGTATTGCGGCATCAGAAACGAAGAAAAACAAACAAAGCTATTGTAACGCTTGCCGTAGAGCAAGTCAAATTTGTAGTTTTCTTATGTCTCATTCGAACTACAGAAATGCTACCCGATCTGGGAAAACTTGCATAGTGCGGTTATAGCAGATGTAGGGCTGCAAAGCGAATGCACAAGTACCTTTCATTCTGTTACGACTTGATGAACCACTGAAACGATTTTGGAAACATTATTAAATTTAAGGTAAAAAAAAAAAGTTTTTTAGTGTTGCTTTAAAATAGACAAGTTATTTTAATTGTTAATTGTAATATTTCACTGTTACTGTATTTTTGCAGCCTTGGTGAGCATAAACTTAAAAAGATACATCTTAACGACCCCAAACTTTTACTTTGTACTTTCAGATCAAGCTGTTGCAAGTATATTACATATTCAAAGAGAGTTTTTTTGTTTTTTTTTGCTACTTGCTTAATTTACTTAACTAGAATTCTTGGACACTTTGTCACAAGGTAATTTCATGGTGTGCAGTTCATTGAAGTTTGCAAAGCAGACATTTGCTTAATCCAATTGTGTTGGGACTGCATGAACATATTCCACTGCTATTACCATACCATTGCTGAAACTGTGCAGGGGATTTCCAGTTCCCAGCATGCTATGCATATAACTGCACTGAGAGAGACACTGTTGAAATTAAATGTTATTTTATGTGTTTTTGATGATGAAAAATTGGGAGGAGCTTAATGTTGTTATGTTTAGGGTTGGATTTTCAGGGGTTACAACCGCGGTGAAGAGCGGAGCATCTGCTATGCGTTAATGTATATGAATAATGTATAACGTGTATGACTCAGCTTTACTCAAAGAGCAATTACTGTTGAAATGCAAGTGCAGTGATCAGTCTCTTCCTCCTCGCTTTAGTAGAATGTTTAAAAAAAAGTATGAACACTATTGCTAGCTAGTTAAAGAGATTCAGTTGGGTTGTTTTGACAGTTAGTCTAATTTTATTGTGTTTTACTCAATTCAGTCAGATTTCCACTACAAGTATCTGGAGCAGAGTTTATAATTTTATTTAATGTTAAGAAAATCTATTCCAAGTGTGTTCACTGTCCACATATGAATTAATGTTTTGAATGTGTCATATTTGTGAAGAGCAACTGTGTGGAAAAACCAAGCCAATGTTTTGCCAAGGCAAACAAGCCCATATTTACTCATTAAGTAAACAATAATTCAGTTATCCTGTAATAATTAAATATCTTGTCTTCATAGAGTATTTGCTCAGTTACCTTTCCAAGTGCTATTGTTAAACTAGTGAAGGGGCTCTCAGAGAAGCCACAGAGCTCCAGTCTCCATTATCAGCTGGGTAATCAGACTCTGGGCGCTGGAGTGGAGCCTGCAGCTCCAGCTCTGGCATGGCTTGAAACATGACTGTCAATTAAGGGAATTAAAAGACGTGCTGGTCTTCACTGAGGCGTAGAGGCATGCAGAACTAACCTGGGAAGAAGCCAGGAGAGAACTTGTGCAGAGACACTGTCATGACTTTAGAGGTGAAGCTGAAAGCGTCCTCCACACCTGGAGAGGAAACAATGCAGAAGTCTACTTAATGGGAAGGATATTAAATCATGTCCAAGGAAAAGCATACAGGAAGTGCTCTTTTGCACTGATGGACTTGTGCTCTAATTGAGAAATAAACAGAACCGGTAACAGATAAATACAAACAAGGAATATGACATGCAACTATCTAAACATCTGGGTCAATGAAAAATTAAATATTCCAAAATAAATAAAATAGAATCTGGTGTCAATTTTTTGAAAACCCTTCTAAGAAAGGTTCAATTATATCATATTTTTAGAGACTTATTGAACTTAACACTGTCTTAAAGGGTTAGTTCACCCAAAAATTAAAATTTTGTCAGTAATTACTCACCCTCATGTTGTTCCAACCCCGTAAGACTTTCGTTCATCTTCGGAACACAAATTAAGTTATTTTTTATTAAATCTGAAAGCTGTCTCACTCCTCCATAGGCTGCTAGGTAATTTCATCTGCCGGCCCAGAAAAGTTAGTGAAAACATAATTAAAATAGTCCAAGTGACTACAGTGACTATTGCTATTTAACCTTAAGTTTATCAAGCGACGAGAATACTTTTTGTGCTAAAAAAATAAATAAAAATAACGACTTCATTCAACTATTCATTTTCTTCTGTGTGGGCCTCTGAGTGAGTTCACGAGAGCGCCACGGCCCACGACGTATGCGCGAGAACTGAGAAAATGACGCTCACGATCCTTTGATGGGAAAGTGTGAAAGGTAAGCCATTCATTTTGCGGCATTTGTAAGGCACTTTTACGTTTTCTTGTTGGTTTGTCAAGATTCGGACATCCAGGAAATGCACACTTTAGAACCATTTTAAACACTACATCGATACCCATCTGCGTCATCTTCTCAGTTCTCGCATATGCGTCGTGGCGCTCTCGTGAACACACGTCAGAGGCTCACACAGAAGAAAATGAATAGTTGAATAAAGTCGTTATTTTTGGGGGGTTTTGCGCACAAAAACAAAAAGTATTCTTGTCGCTTGATAAACTTGAGGTTGAGCCACTGTAGTCACTTGGACTATTTTAACGATGTCTTTACTAACTTTTCTGGGCCGGCAGATGAAATTACCTAGCAGCCTATGAAGGAGTGAGACAGCTCCCAGATTTCATCAAAAATATCTTAATTTGTGTTCCGAAGATGAATGAAAGTCTTACGGGGTTGGAACAACATGAGGCTGAGTAATTACTGACAGAATTTTCATTTTTGGGTGAACTAACCCTTTAAGGGTCTGAATGCTCATTTCTATATAATTTTGTGTTGTATGTTTTTCCTGTATTGACTGCAACACATGACTTTGAGCTTTATTAGCAGTTTTGTAAAAAAAAAAAAAAAAAAAAAAGAATTTGCCAGACTACCCAATGAGGTTTCTTTTAAAAAATGCCATTCTTTTAATGAGACTTTCTTCATTGTGATATCAGGACAGTTGTATCACCCTAACACCCCTGTCAAACTCAAAATGATGTTTAATTTAGAAATTTTAAAAATAAGCTCATCGTAGAAGAGGTATATTCATCCTTTAGGAGTTTAATTTTTTTTTTGCATTTTTGAATATACTAATATCCAATTTCCAAAAAATGTAAGTGTTGTGTCACTGACCCATCTAACATTCACTCTTGGTATTAATGTGGATTTGGACGTCAGATATAAATTTAAAGCCAATTTGTGAATTATTTGTGGAAAAGGAGGATGTTAAATGCTATTAACGACAAAAGGTTGTTATGGTTATTGTTATGGAAGTGTTATTACCATCGCCATGGTGAAGGTCCACATCCACATAGAGAACCCTCTCATACTTCTCCCGCAGTTTGAGGATTCCAAGAACAGCGTCATTCACATAACAGAACCCAGATGCCTCATCCCTTACATAACAACACATATTCAATCAGATGCTCCAGTGACCCGATGAACAATGTCCTACACATATATAAACATTCATCTATAATAAACATTTTACAAAAAACTAAACACTAAGCTCGTTTAAAAATCTTCTGCAAACAAACTGTGACATAAAAATTTGAACTTGGTTTTAACATGCTAAAGATGACACTGGCATCTCAATGATTGATGTGGAGGTGAAACACAAGAGGGTGGGCACAAGGCCTGTTGTGCTGTATTACTTCTTGGCGTGATGCCACCCTCCGGCCCAGTTGATGGCCACATCACACTTTCCATCCAGCAGATTCTGGGCAGCAGTCAGAGTGGCTCCTCCAACGGAGGCCGCGTAATCAAAAATACCTTCCACCACCGGACAGTCATAACCTGAACAACAAAAAAAAAAAAAGAGCGTCAAGAGGGGGGTTTGATAACACAGAGAGACAATGGGATGGGGTGTAGAGAGGAAACTGAGGAAAGATAGTCTGTCACAGAGTGGGAGGGTGAGAAAGAACAATAAACACTGAACTACATTAAAATAGATCCTTTGGCAAGAGCTTTGTTTCCCCCTCAAAAACAATAACACCATTCTCTATCCCTGGAGATTAGTATGAAGTGTCAGTTTGTCAGGCATTTAAATTACACATGGCTGTGATCCAGTGCAAAAATTAAACACTGATTATAATAACTGGAAAGTCTGAGAAAGATTCAAGTATAATACTGCCCACTGCTGTAAGCAAGAGGGCATTGCATGCACTAGCACAAGGGACACCATTGGCTTGGTTGACTATTCCGGAAATCTAGTTCTAATTCAGAGGGGTTTAAACTGGGCTCTGGGAGGGGGTGTTAGGTGGTCTGCGAAAAATTTGAGGGAGAATTTTAATGTTTTTTTTTCAAGTAAAAAAAAAAAAAAACGAAATTCAATTGGCAGTAGTTCTTGAATCTGAAACTTTCCCTGGTATAATGATGACAAAGCTACTTGTATGTATGTATGTGTGTGTGTGTGTGTGTGTGTGTATATATATATATATATATATATATATATGAAGTTATTTTACAATTACTTTAAATCTTGCACCCCACATGGAAGTTTGCTGAGGTTTAATAATTTGAATTGAACTGAAAATATCACATCAGGTTTATAAACATTAAAATGGGTAGAAAAAAATATATACGCTCAACTGAAATTGTATTACTGCTGAGAAAATATTTTCCAGATAATAATTTAAATATAAAATCCAATTATTTAATTTTGCAAAAACCATGTTGAACTTATATCATCACATTATTACTTTTTATCACATAGTATAATAATATAATTGTCCCTTCACATGAACATATATAGCTGCCTTTATATTTTAGGAATGGTTATCATATTTTATGGTCCTTGGGTTCAAAAAATTTGCAAACTTAACAAAAAAACAAAAAAAGTTTATGAAAATAGGTTTATGAAGATGAAGCCAAAAGCCGTGCAAATGCCTGGCAAGGACAATCTGCCCGTGCCTGATCTCAATAATGCTCTTGTGGGAGCAAATTCCTACAGCAAACATCTGGTGAAATGTCTTCTCAGAAGAGTAAAAGCTGCTGGAAACAGCTAAAGGAGTCCATATTGATTAAAAAAAATGATGACTGATCATCTGAATTCAGATCTCACCCAGTCCAAAGTCAACAGAATGAGGGTCATCATTGTCCCCGTCCTGGCTGATCTTGTGCAGGTGCTGCAAGTAAGAGTCTGTGTGAAACACGGCCATCTCCTCTATTGAAGCCGCATGTGGCTTTACCACCCTAAAAAACACACAAAACAGTTTCAACAACATAAACATCAGTTAACATTATTTAGGTATTTAAAAAATACATATTTAAATGAAAATTATGTAAACGGCACCTCATGTATTTCAATAAGCCATACGCCTCAATCAGTGAATGCACCATACTCGCCTGTGAGAGAAAGAAAGTAGTAAAGAAATTCAGGAATGTGTCATATATTCCATATATATATTTAACTAATTGATTAACACATTAATGTAGGCTACTATAGTATTTAACGCTAACGTTACATGTTATTCCAAAGTTCTTCAAAGAATACCACGGTAATATACCACGGAAGATGTCAAAACATGGTACTTTTTCGTTAACAGTTAGTTCACAGTCATTCGCGATTCCATTTGAATTATTTATATCTTTGTTTGTAATGCGGTGAAGTATGAAGCATCAATCTGGCAGAAGACAGATGTGTGTGTTGTGTTTGGGAGTGTGAGAAGTGCAGCTCATCTCACCCGGTTTGGCACTTTAGACCAGGGGTTCTCAAACATTTTGGAGCCAGGGACCCCTTACAGGGGAAAAACATTTCCAAGGACCCCCTCATATTTATAACAGTGACTGAGCCTAAAGTTAATGTGGGAGCGGTTAATGAAATATTTTGACACAAATAGTCTCGACCCAGGGTCATATGCAGGGTTTTCTAAATAGCATACTGAGGTCCCAAAATTGATCTTGCTAGGGGGGTTCGGGGGCATGCCCCCCGAGGAATTTTAGATTTTCTTGATCTACACGTGCATTTTAAGGTGTTTTTAAGGCCAAAATTTTTTACTTTTTTCTTGATATACCCAGAAAGAATGGAAGTGCAATGTGACAACAACATGTCCCATAGGTGGGGCACATTGTAACATGACCATATGACAGATTAAAATGTTATCTGATCTAATCAAACAAATATACAAGACAAACAAAAAAGCTATACAACATAGTTCAAAACATATTCATTGTAACGCAGTGTGACAACATGACCCACTTGACCCCGCTATCCCCTATATTTCCTTTCCCGGTTGATACTTTGCAAACTGATTGTTTCTGTCGTTCGTTTAAAACTTCTATAACAGCTGTTTAGTTTAGCGATTTACATATTATCTCGCACTTTATGACCGAATAACTGAAGCGTCATGCGGAAATTCGCGCTCGGCTTGCAGCTTCTGTGAACATAAACCCGCCTTGATTTAATCTCCGACTCAAACATTTTGACATTGACGAGCGCTGTTAGTCTGCTGAAACCGCTCAGATGAGAAGGTCAGTTATCATCATCGCGATGTTTAATATCCTTGCAGCACCAAATTAGAGTTAATATTAGGCAATTATTTCACAACTTTCATTATACACATAGAAAAATTACAGAGGCCCGGACCTCAGGGACCTCAATTGTGGGTATACGACCCTGTCCCTATGCACAAATTTATAATTTACTATATTTTTTCAGAAAATAAGTTGCACCTGAGTGTGTAATACTTTGTTGCGTTCTTGAGGCGTAGTAGGCCTACTTCCCCTCACTCCACAGCAAATCCTTAAATTAATGGTATTCAGAACAAAACGAGAATGAAAAATAATACTATTAATAGATAATAATACAAATAATAATAATAATAGTATACAGACAACATTTATTTAAAACATCAAGTCTAAACGAATTAAGTTGAATCGAAACTGAAACTGCAGACGTTGGGCTCGTGCATCTCTCATTCGGTCCAAAGTGTCCATATTTGCGATGTAGCCTAACATTTGGATGCTTAACTATTTATGTAAAGAAAGCTTCATGCTTCAGTCCCAATATAGGCCTACACGTATCAGCATCTTCACATTTGGAGAAATGAGATTGGAACAACAGCAAGTCGACAGTATATGATTGACCGTCACTGCCTTCATAGTGTACAACAGACAAATTAAATTAAGCAGAACTTTTTATAAGTTCGGTGAGTATTTTATTTTGATAATGAACAGGTTTTGATGTCAAATTAGCAGTGCTAGAACTGACATATTGTGCGCGCACACGAGACGCCGGCGCGAACACTTGGATTTTTCCTCAGCAGTGGAAACAAAGGAATACTCTTGTTTATGGTCATAAAGATAAGAGTACATCATTCAAAAAGGCAAAGTGTCTATTTTTTATTTGTGTATACATTAAAAATGACTACAAAATGTCATGCCTTTTAAAAATAAAGAACACAACAGGATGCGCGTTCTGCCGTCTCTGTCTCCTTTCTGGCGCACGTGCCCAAAAATCGACCAAAACACAGCGAATACTTGACGCACAGACATAAGAAATATAGATAGATTATCTATCTATAGAAACCTTTAAGAGCCTACTTTTTTATTATTTGACATTAAATGCATTATATAAGTCACTTTGGAATAAATAGCAAGTTTTCAGATGCTAAAGAAAACATGACTTACAGTCGGGAAAAACGGTAGGCTGTTATAAATTATTTCGCGGACCCCCTGGCTATAGTTCACGGACCACCAGGGGTCCGCGGACCCCACTTTGAGAACCACTGCTTTAGACAGCGAGTCACATGTCTGGATGTATTCCGGACTGTAAACATACACCACACTGCGATTTCTGCTTTTGTCATTATTACTGTCGCTTTTATCACTCATTTAAAATCGAACTATTAAAATCAAAGCTCCTCATAAACCGACACAGAGCCTAGTTTCGGTGCGCTGTGGCTGACTGTTCTAACAATGAACGTTACAACAACAATCGTCCGTTATTTCAAAATAAAAGTCCGGATTTGTTATCAATTTACTGTAATGTTTGTCAAGATAACGTGCTGTTTTTGAATTGCTTTCTGATAGGAAACAGTAAAAACTGACAAATATCTGGATAATTCAATAAAATAAAATAAGTTTATTTTTGTCATTTTTATTCAGTTGTAATGTATTATATTAAGCAAAATAAATAAAAGTTACTATCCCATAATGGCTTCTATACAAGTATAAAAGTATAAACAAACATCTACTATTGACTTGTAAAATGGCAGTAAAGACCACAAATGCTAAGTCTAAAACACATCTATAAACAAGTCACGCCTCTCCATTATGGATTGTAATTTGTAAACACACTACTCATTATATTTTATGTAGTACCTTTATTTTTATGATGGCAAATAAAAACCAAAAAGAACAAAATTGAGTTTCATGCTTAATAGACCTAAGTCAGGATAGACACCATATTAAATTTTACAAGGATGAAAATGAGGCTGTAAGGGATACACCTACAGTCTTTACAATGGCACTGTAAACATCCTAGATCACATGTGATTTTCAAAATACACTACTTGTTTTTACTTTCATCAGCTGAATAATCTGCATTTTGTTCAATACACACTGTCCTCACTGGGTCATTTAAATTCCTGTCACAAATTAAATATGGCGCTACCCTGACTATAAGGTCTATGGAGAACCTATTAAAGGACTACTGAGTGACAAGACAACACCATCAAACTGAACTTCCAAAGCATGTGGTCAACAAGTTTATTCAGTCTTGTTCAAAACGGCTACATATTTTCTTTGATCATCCACCGAACACAAACATCTCAATAACTGCTCTAAAACAGTGGTGTTTTCACTATACAATAAAAACTATAGTATTTAAAAACTTCATGGTATCACTGTACGGTACAGGCGCCACTAGGCAGAAAGTCCTGGACGTAGGTAGCCACAGCTTTAGTGAGGTAAGTCATGGTGCCAAAGCGGCCACTGGGTGCAGTATCATATAGGAGCCGGCAGATGCCTGTAGAGTGATCCTTTTCTAAAATACTGTCCTCTGCACCTAGATCCTTCTGCAGAACAGAGAGAGAAGAGATTTTTTTAAATATTTGTTGATAATGTATTGTTGATAACACATACCATAATATATGCCATACTTTTTTTTTTGTTAAATACCCATACCTGGTCCTTGAAGAACATGTCATTGGCGATGTGAACAACCTTCTCTATGTGGATGATGCTCCCAATGCTTTGTATGTCCACATCAGCCAGCATTGTAAGTACCAGGATCCCTTCCACCAGCAGCTGCCTATATTCAGGCTGAGGGACACGGTTCAGCACCCTTTCTACATGTACCGCAAACTTAATCTCCCCCGGGGTCATCTGGAGAGAGGGAGAGTGGTGGAGAAGGAAATTTGCAGTCTAAGTTACAGAAAGCAATTAGCGCAGTATGTTAAAGGATTTTTAAAAGGGCCCAAACCTCTCTTGTAGTAGAAGATGGGAGCACAAAGCCTTCTATTGAAAGGCCATGACACTGCGGGGAGAAAAAAGAAAATTCATATATTTCACTATTTTGCATAAAAATATTTTGCTATCCATTATTTTTAACATAAGAGCAGACAAGATAATTTGTAACTTGAATGTACGAGGCTTCCAGTTATTTTTAGCTGTACAAAACAGCTCATTATGATGCTTGATATTGCAATGTTATTTTAAAGCATTGTCGTGAAACTCACTTGATTTGTAGAGCCTATATTTACAGCACTTGTTATTCTTCTAGGTCTCACATAAATCACAGAAAATAGCTTACTTCCACATAGCAAAATGAGGTTGATCAAGGTCAAGTATTTTTTCAAACTATTTCATGTTATTAACATAACACTGCTTTAATTCTTCCAACCTTCTGTAGAATCTTCCAGACTTTTTGATAGAAGCCTACAGGAACTCTGTTGAGAGCACCATCAAGCCTTCTTCTGCGCAGCCACTGGCCCTGCCGACTGTCCCGGGACGCACCGACACTCACCGAGCTGTCAAGCCCATCAATCGAAGGCATACGGTACCTCTGCAAGTCACATTTTAGCACAGGTCAACAATTTGACCAATTTCTTGGTTAGTGGTATGACGTACTGTATTATTCAAGAAATGGTTTCTTCATGACAAATAAAATGAAAATCTACTTCACAAAACTTTGATCTGGTGATTAGGAAGGCATGTGACTTCATTATTCTGGTGTTTACAGACACCAAGTTTGACTTGGTTTAATAGAGTGGTTAGAAGTATTTGCATCCGGTTATGTAGGAACATCGTTAAAGAAAGGTGGTGGAAACAAGTTGAACATCTAGTTTATTAAAATGACAGAGTGCTGCAGTGATGACATTTTTTTGTAGGCCAACCCAGAACTTAGCATCAACCTGGTTCCCTCGACAAAAAAGACCACAGGATTTTCCCATTAGGTTATTGAGGAAATAAGGTCTGTGAAAAAACAAACGTTTATGATTCTTATACATTTTGTTCATCAATATAATCTTCACAAATGTAAACACCTTTTATGAATTTTGAAGCGTAAATACAATCTTCGAAAGTAAAACGCTAAAGTTAGGCTATAAACAAACTACACCACAGTCGCATGACTTAAATCTCACCACCACTAAGCTTCTGGAAACTCTTTCTATCTTTATTTAAAATCTACAAGTTGGAAAGTTTGACAATAGTATGCAAGGATGCGAGTGTAAACACAAGGCTGTAAATGCGGAGTAGTGAGTAGATGAATTTACCTGTTCGGTGTGATAACGTTTAATTTCCCAGATAAACTTTGTAGACCCATTTGGTCAATTGTTAGTAACAGTCTTATTCAAGACACTTAAACTCACAAGCTCGGTTTAACTGGTGTATTTTATGTCGTACAAAAAAACGTGAAAATATCTTGAGCTTGTGTTAACCACAGACCTTATTTCAGGCTTTTAACCAAAAACTTTGACTTCAGGGGGATGGAACCAGAAGAGCAAAAATACTAACTCTTTTCTGGGTTTTAGGACTCATTCCTACAGCACATCGAATAATTAAATTATTTTTCAGGCACAAACTATTTGCACATTTTGCAACTCTTTGTAGCCTAATCTTACCCTTCAAAAAATCTAAGCGAAAAATTAATATGGCTTTGAAGAACTAAGCACTTACCCCTGACTCCATTGTCCATTCACTTCCAGTGTCGAAGGATTGACCTGATAATGTCTACAAAGGGAAAAGACAGACACAGGGATGGACAGTTTTACAAACTTTCTACATGACAAAACTCTTTTGAGCCTCCTTCCACAATTACGTTCACATTACCCATGGAATTAAACACCATGCCATGCACCTTCAGACCCCGTGAAACCTGTACATTTTTCTTTAATGCGATATCCAGATTTAAAATTAGATGTACAGTGGATTTCCTTCCATAACATTAACACATCCCATAACCAAATTGAACAGCTGATGTCAGGTTTTCTCTTTACATTTTTGAGTTGTTGAACTTAATTTGAGATTAGACCACATTACATGAGACTGAGTCACGGCTCATTAGACACATCACCTTACTTTGGATCGACCATGACAATCGGTGATCTTCTAGCTGAAAACATTTAAACACTATTAAACATATAGAGACAAGTAGCTATAGTGTTTACATGGTTGAATTTTATAATTGTGCTTTTGTAATATCTGGCTTGTATGTTTTTGGTTCTGGATGAGCAGTCACCTACCATCTTCATGTCACTCTTCAGTTTGCTGATGCCTGCACGCTCACTCTTGGTGGCACCAACATTGCCGACCTCATGGATGGAGATGACAGGACTAGCGCCGGGCTCAACTGAACGAACTGAACAGCGAACATGCCCACATTCAGACAACCAAACCAACCAGAGAATGCTAAATGCAATGCTGAATGTACTGACACATATATTTAAAAATTCCCAGCTCAATAGTACAGAAAACTGTTATTTTCATGAAGTCACTCACCACTTCTCTGAACACCAAATTCTTTGCCGCTCAGAATGTGGTGGAGAAGATTCTTCAACTCAGAGGGACTCAGTTTCATTAGACTCTCAGTGGCCTCCTCACCTTCAATACACACAATATATATCAAATATTATACAAACATTATAAAAAAAACTATACAAACATCCTCAAATCTCCTAAAATGCACTATGAACACATGATGAATGATAAATGCAGTACCTGAGCAGTTTAGAGATTGGGCCAGCTCAGTTGCCATAACCTGAATGATGAGGCCAATCCTCAGCCGAAACATCTCACTGAACAAACTGGGCTGCGTTCTGATGATCATTGCGAGGTACACTATGATCTCCTAACACATATACAAAAACAAACATATACACTGAAAACAAACCTCAAAAAAATTTTTATAAGCAAGGTCTGAATGGAATCAGCACAAAGAATTTCACTGAAAACATGAATTATGAAATATTTTGGCTAATTTGATAATGCTTTCATCTACTGACATAAGAGTAGTTCTATCATCTTACAATTTATCGTGTTCAAATAGTTTTCCCCCACAATCAACAGAATAAGTGAAAAAGTTCTGTGTGCTTTTGGTTAAAATTGTTTGGTCGATTTTTATTGTTTTTTGAAAGTCTCTTATGCTCACTTAGGCTGCATTTATTTGATCAAAAATAAAGTTTAAATAGTAATATTGTGAAATATTTTTACATTTTTAAAATAACTTTTATATTTGAACATTTTAAAATGAAATTTATTCAAATGATGGCAAAGCTGAATTTTTAGCATCATTACTCAGTGTCACATGATCCTTCAGAAATCATTCTAATATGCTGCTTTGGTGCTCAAGTAACAATTCCTATTATTATCAATGTTGAAAACAATTGATCTGCTTTATATTTTTGTGGAAAATGTGATCCATTTTTTTCAGAATTCTTTAATGAATAGAAAGTTCAAAAGAAAACATTGAAAAAAAATCTTTCGTAACA